GAAGTTTTATCTTTTTTACAATTGTCATTTTATTGAATTATTACTATTTTTTATGATAAAATGCTGTGAAGGTGTAATCAAAATGTTAATGATCTGATTTCAGGGAAAAAATAGCAGGACTTGAGAAACAGTTGGAAATGGTGTCTGAGGAAAAGGAAATCCTAGAAGCTAGAATAGAGCAGAGAAATTTACAGGTAGTATCATTGTTACAAAACTTTTATACAGTTTTAATCAGTAAAATTATTTGTACAGTAGTTAAAACTAATAAAAGTTTATTAGTCACCATAGTTACTTGGTTTATGTGTTGGATTTTTAAAAACCGAATGTGGTAATCTGTGATTTTTGTTTGCACCATTGAGAAAAAATATCGAAAAATCTAAAATACAATTCTGGATAACTTTCAGCAGTGCTATATTTTGAGTTCCAGGCAAACATTTAGCATGCCATAACATTATATTTTACTTTGAGTCCTTTAAACACTTGAGAAAGGAATTGATTTCTGGTTTAGGGGGACTATGACCCAACAAAAACAAAGGTGCTCCACTTCTCAATGAACCCTGCTGCAATGGCACAAAAGCAACGCCAGGAGGAGCTGGCACAACTACGAGAGGAGAATAGGAAGTTAAAGGAGAGAGTAAAGCTTCTGGAAACATCGGGAGGAGTGGTGGAGGATATCACACAAAAAGTGGACCAGAACGTACAGCAACCTTCCACTAGTAAAGAAGTTGTTGGTGAGTGGGTAATTTTAGCAAGGTTTTAATGTTTTATGCATGGTGGTTTAAAAATGTGTGTGTGTGTGTGTGTTTGTGACAGTACGTTTTGTAATGTCATCATGTAAGATGTATTTACTGTGTTAAATAATGTCAAAAATAAACTGAAATATGACAAAGTATTTTCTAACTATTGCAGATATCAAAGCACAGCTCTCCACTGCCGAACTGAAGAACAAGCGTTTAATGGAGGCGTTTAAGAAAACCAGTCAGGAGTTCCGGGAGGTGTGCTACCAGCTGACAGGCTACAAGATAGACATTCCCTGTACCAACCAGTACAGGCTGATGAGCATGTATGCAGAGTCTCCTGATGACTTCATCGTGTTTCAGGTAAATGTTGATGAGAATGTGATAGTTTTGTGCCCATTCATCTTAAATATGTAAAGTTGTTATGTGCACGTCCCCTTCCATTTAGTTCATTACATGTCTTACTTTATACAAGGAATTAAAAAAACTCTGATCCATTAGTCTTATCAACAGTCCTTGCTTATTCTCTCTTTCTGTAACACTATGCACTGTAATATCCTTCACATTATTTATGCCAACATTAAATTTATTTTCTAGCAAACTTCTACAGGAGAAATGCAGCTTTTGGCCACAGACTTCTCTGCCACCATGTCACACTTCATAGAGACTTATCTCCAGAAAAATGACAGTATTCCAGCTTTCTTGAGTAGCGTGACACTAGATTTATTCAGCCGCCAGACTCTCATGCTATGATATCACACTATTTAGAGACTCGTCTGTAGATAAATGAGAGTATTCCAGATTTCTGGAGTGTTACTGGACTTGTTCAGACCATCTTGAAATGTCAGTGCCATCTGCTGGGAGGCAGAGCTCTGATTAATAATGCATTAAAATCTGCTGGTCGGTCACATTAACATTATTATAGCATTAGATAGCTTGATTTCAAGAGTTGAATTCAAAGATGTTTTTGACAGTCTTTCATTTGTCAGTAACTTCAATGATTTAAGTATTTCAAAGTGAGAATGTATCAAAGTAATGACTTTTGTACATACTTCATAATTCTCTGAAACTGTATTTTGGTTTCAATTTGGTAAGAAACTTAGTTAAAATGTCATAAAATATATCCCATATTGATGAAGAGCTAATTTTTTTGGATATTAAAGCATATCTTTGCATGTGGATGCCATTAATTCTTGCTATTATCATTGTGCATTGTCAGTAGTTCAAGTACAACGCGTCTCAAAAACTTTCTGTATTCTCTGTGGAGATCTTAAAATACTGCAATCTGAAAACTTTTTGCATGTTTAAAAAGAAAATCTAATCAAAATTACACAATCACAGTTGCATTATCAACATTTATTGCACTTTTACAGGACTAGTTACATCCTATATCATCTCATGCTGAGTGACCCTGAATAAAAATGATATAATTAACATTTTTCAAGCTGTGACAAATTATAACATCTAAAGTTTACCTATTATTGTGAATCTGAGCTCCTGATAGTTTTATTTTTACCAGCCGTACAGCTTTAAATTGTTGGTTGAACCAAACATTTTGCCAAACCCCAAATCAATTTTAATAGTCATTAACAATTTTTCCTTAGCCAAATCAAATTTTCTGAAATGTTTCAATTTTGTTTGCTACCGTGAGCCCAAATTAATTCAGGAATTTTGTTCCACAATGGGACATTTACACTTGTCACTCAGAACCCATTGGAATGCATAATATTTGTACTGTAACATGTCCCCTTGTAGGAAGCCAATTCAGAATTATATCAAGTGTGGATATTAATCATATCGTCTAAGGAATGTCAAAAGTAAACTACACCGTGGTATACTGAAATACTATCAAGTGGATTGGTATTTCATTTACGGTTGGATTGGTTAGTTTCATCTCTCCTAAAATATTATTTGTAAAATTTGCCTCTCGGACCCCAAACTGATTTAGCAAGATGATATATTTCTAAAAGGTGTGCTCATCATGATATCCTTGGCACCAGATCCTTCCTTCATTTTAAATTGAATACAGCATTCTTATAACACCATGAAACACTTAAGCTTTACCTATAACTCTAGTTGTAAAAATAAATATAACATTAAAAGGGGGTCTTTTGATACTTTATCAATGAAATGCAAGCACTGTCTAATTCTTTTCACTTTCTTTGCTTTCCTAACCTTCAAATACTTTTAAATCCTCAAATACATCTAACTTTAAATACTTTAAATAGTATTTAAATACTAATATTAAATATCATTACTCTGCCATCACTGAACAAATGCTGTGCTCATTCTCACTCCTGCCTTTTGCACCCACACCCCCCCCACCCTCCCANTGTGTGTGACAGTACGTTTTGTAATGTCATCATGTAAGATGTATTTACTGTGTTAAATAATGTCAAAAATAAACTGAAATATGACAAAGTATTTTCTAACCATTGCAGATATCAAAGCACAGCTCTCCACTGCCGAACTGAAGAACAAGCGTTTAATGGAGGCGTTTAAGAAAACCAGTCAGGAGTTCCGGGAGGTGTGCTACCAGCTGACAGGCTACAAGATAGACATTCCCTGTACCAACCAGTACAGGCTGATGAGCATGTATGCAGAGTCTCCTGATGACTTCATCGTGTTTCAGGTAAATCTTGATGAGAATGTGATAGTTTTGTGCCCATTCATCTTAAATATGTAAAGTTGTTATGTGCATGTCCCCTTCCATTTAGTTCATTACATGTCTTACTTTATACAAGGAATTTAAAAAACTCTGATCCATTAGACTTATCAACAGTCCTTGCTTATTCTCTCTTTCTGTAACACTATGCACTGTAATATCCTTCACATTATTTATGCCAACATTAAATTTATTTTCTAGCAAACTTCTACAGGAGAAATGCAGCTTTTGGCCACAGACTTCTCTGCCACCATGTCACACTTCATAGAGACTTATCTCCAGAAAAATGACAGTATTCCAGCTTTCTTGAGTAGCGTGACACTAGATTTATTCAGCCGCCAGACTCTCATGCTATGATATCACACTATTTAGAGACTCGTCTGTAGATAAATGAGAGTATTCCAGATTTCTGGAGTGTTACTGGACTTGTTCAGACCATCTTGAAATGTCAGTGCCATCTGCTGGGAGGCAGAGCTCTGATTAATAATGCATTAAAATCTGCTGGTCGGTCACATTAACATTACTATAGCATTAGATAGCTTGATTTCAAGAGTTGAATTCAAAGATGTTTTTGACAGTCTTTCATTTGTCAGTAACTTCAATGATTTAAGTATTTCAAAGTGAGAATGTATCAAAGTAATGACTTTTGTACATACTTCATAATTCTCTGAAACTGTATTTTGGTTTCAATTTGGTAAGAAACTTAGTTAAAATGTCATAAAATCTATCCCATATTGATGAAGAGCTAATTTTTTTGGATATTAAAGCATATCTTTGCATGTGGATGCCATTAATTCTTGCTATTATCATTGTGCATTGTCAGTAGTTCAAGTACAACGCGTCTCAAAAACTACTTTATGTATTCTCTATATAGATCTTAAAATACTGCAATCTGAAAACTTTTTACATGTTAAAAAAGAAAATCTAATCAAAATTACACAATCACAGTTGCATTATCAACATTTATTGCACTTTTACAGGACTAGTTACATCCTATATCATCTCATGCTGAGTGACCCTGAATACAATTGATATAATTAACATTTTTCAAGCTGTGACAAATTATAACATCTAAAGTTTACCTATTATTGTGAATCTGAGCTCCTGATAGTTTTATTTTTACCAGCCGTACAGCTTTAAATTGTTGGTTGAACCAAACATTTTGCCAAACCCCAAATCAATTTTAATAGTCATTAACAATTTTTCCTTAGCCAAATCAAATTTTCTGAAATGTTTCAATTTTGTTTGCTACCGTGAGCCCAAATTAATTCAGGAATTTTGTTCCACAATGGGACATTTACACTTGTCACTCAGAACCCATTGGAATGCATAATATTTGTACTGTAACATGTCCCCTAGTTGGAAGCCAATTCAGAATTATATGGATTAAGTGTGGATATTAATCATATCGTCTAAGGAATGTCAAAAGTAAATAACCCTGTGGTATACTGAAATACTATCAAGTGGATTGGTATTTCATTTACGATTGGATTGGTTAGTTTCATCTCTCCTAAAATATTATTTGTAAAATTTGCCTCTCGGACCCCAAACTGATTTAGCAAGATGATATATTTCTAAAAGGTGTGCTCATCATGATATCCTTGGCACCAGATCCTTCCTTCATTTTAAATTGAATACAGCATTCTTATAACACCATGAAACACTTAAGCTTTACCTATAACTCTAGTTGTAAAAATAAATATAACATTAAAAGGGGGTCTTTTGATACTTTATCAATGAAATGCAAGCACTGTCTAATTCTTTTCACTTTCTTTGCTTTCCTAACCTTCAAATACTTTTAAATCCTCAAATACATCTAACTTTAAATACTTTCTTAATATTAAATATCATTACTCTGCCATCACTGAACAAATGCTGTGCTCATTCTCACTCCTGCCTTTTGCACCCACCCCCGCACCCCCACCCCAGCTACTCTGGATTTCAGTATGTCTGTTCTCCATTAATGATACATAACAAACTGAAATAAAATTCAGATATCCCTTAACCCTAGGCTGGTCAACCTTCACCACAACCGTTTTATAATCAGTGAACTTCTATATGGACATTATGACACAAAAACAAAAATTCAAAATAGTTTTACAACAAGTACTAAAAGCATAATAAATACATAAGTAGGACTTGCACCTGATTCACTGTCCCTGTTATATGTATGTGTGGCTGATTGTACACTGAAAATTTTGATTGCTATCTAATAAATGATCAATAAATACAAATTCTTCTTCACTTAGATAGATTGCCATCTACCTGTTACGTAACTGTTAGCACTGAATTTATCGTGAAATTCTGCAAATTCCAGGAATTTTAAAGCTTCACTTTTACAATCTGTAAATAAAGGGATTTTGTAAACAGTCAAGATTTCCATACATTCAATATTCCATGTGTGCTAATCAAAGTTCAAAAACATCAGACAAAATAGTTAATATCTATATGTATGCTTAAATACACACACAACACCTACATTAGTTAATAATTCAATTTAATTAGAAAAAGATCTATAATATCATAAGGGTTTCAGAATTTGTGGCCTTCGAATAAGCTTTAGTAATTAGGTTCTCAAATGCTGTCAAATAATGGCACATCATCAAATTACAATGTCAGTTCAAATAGATCTTAAAATGAAAATAAGATAAACTACACAAACCACAGTGATCTTTGTTTACATTTTCTAAGTCGGTTCACATTTTTGATTTACATACAGGTATGTATTATATTTTGTAAAAACTATATTTGTGAAGGAAAATCTGTAAAAGGTCATCAAGGCTCTGCTTACATAACAAAAAAGTTATCAAAGAGGCTTAAAATAATGAATAATATCCTCTCTCTAGAAAATTAAAGAATGCAAATGTCTGTGCACTCATACTAAACTGAATACTGCTTTTTATGGCCCCATGAAAAAAAAATTAAAATACTTCTCAAAAGTCTGAATAAGTATAATTCACCACATAAGTAACTCTTGTTAAGATGTGCTAATATAATATATTAAATATAATATACAGTGGACACCAATTAAAGCATTCCAAGCCAGAATTTTCCTGTCAAAACTCGTATTCAACAAATGTTTCTGGGGTAAACGGCATTTTCTCTCACCTAGCCACCTTTTAATCTTCCTTTACTGACACTCACCATAATTTTGTAACAATTTTGGAAAAAAACAACAGATCGAAACCTGCACTTTAGCTCTGTTTTTTTTTCTTTTTTTTTCTGATACATCATTCCTTCCATGACTTGACTTCTGGATATCACGTGATTTTCGTGCCAATGCTTAGTTAAAACTAGTGTAATGCTGCCAGTGAACCTGTGTTATTTTCAAACTGTGTCTATCGAGGTTGGACAAGGGACGGTGAATATGATCATTTTTGGCAAATATTAATTAAGGCCCTTCATCTGTCAATATATGTTTTAAAGTTTAAATTGTCCTCAGATAAGTTCAACAAGAAGCAATTCATGCACTCAAAATGTGTTCCAAAATTCTGGCTTGGATATCTTTAAACAGACCGAGTAAATGAAACAAGACACATACTGGAAATGCACCATCAATACTTTGGACTAGATACATTACATCTGTACTCTCTGAATATATCTTACAACTGTAGTTTCTGCACCAGTCTTCTAAAACTTTATGAATATTTTCATAACAAAGGAGCATGTGCCATACAAATTATTGGGTTGGCTATTGAAATAAGTTTTAATTTGTCCCTGATGAGAATATTATATTTTTGATAATCTTTTTTTTAAACTAGTCAAAGATTTGGCCAGATCTATTGATAAGACAACATAATTTAAATTTAACTAAAAACCAAATTTTCCAAGAGTTTTCTCCAATCTATTATTTCTATCAAGATTCATAAAGTTCTGAAAATGCTTTCAATAGGAGCCTCATGGCTTTGGGGAATGTCTACTCCTGCAGGTATCCATCCAGAAGTTTCTGAAGGTCCTTAAGTTCCTCCAGATATTCCAGATCCTCCATGTAATTGCTGGACATTAGTCTGCTGCCATCATATGAGTTATCATACCAACGCTCTATCTCATCATCATCATCATCATCACCTTCAAAGTTCTCCTAGAAAACAGTGGATAGCGAATCAATTTATTTTAAACAGCACTGAATATGATTTTAAGTACATCAAAATTTTATAAAGGGTAATAAAGTGTGTATTCTTGATGTTGTCTTTTAAAGAAACCTAAAAACAGAGGATGGGCAGTAATTAGAATAACTTATCTGCAAATTAAAATACATCTCCAGACCAGATATTCCATTCTACATGGTAAGACAGCATCTTGCAGTTCTCCTACCCTGATTTTTTCTATTTCAGAATTCAATCATTCTCACAACCCTTCAACAATATTTTCCCATTAATATTCGCAAATGCATTCTCCTATGTTTATAAATGGATAACTATAATAACATGAATTAATACCTGATATTTATTCTGTAAAATATGCTTTATCTTCTGTTTCTCTTGGTCGCCTTTTTCCTCCATCACAGCATTTGGCACCATATTCAAATGTGCACAGCTGGGATCAACATCCGCCTTGACACTCATAGCATCTTCCCTGAGGGGCTGCAATTCAAAGTCCACTTCTTTGGCCTCTGTCCGGAATGGATTTGTCACTTCCATACACTTGGTCTGAGGGAGGTAGCCAGGAGCAGTGACTGTTACCATGTAGGAGCCCGGAATCAGAAGCCTCCAGTAGTCTCCATCATGGGCTGCAAGGAGAAAAAACTTGTGAATATTTCAGATGCAACTGGGTGGAATGTGTTAATGTATTAGGTCTGATGATCTAGTTTGTTTCATACTGTCACTAAGTGCCTTTTAAGATGCATCAAAAATGCTTTAAATATGACCAAACCAGGGGATGCAATTGATAATTCATCAAAATGATAAAAACTACACATTATTATAATTACAAATCAGTACTATTTTACTTGTGACCCTTTCCTTGGTCAGCTTCCATTGGTCTGGTTTCTAAGACCAATAAGAAAACTAATCATATACTGAACACTCATATTATTGTTTTACAATATATGATACATCATTGTGTTAGCTGAGACAGCACAATGGCTGTGACATTGTGTTAGTGGTGACAAGCAATCCATTCAAACCTACCAGATGTGATATCATGATTGATATCAGCGTCACTGGTTAGGTTGTGCACTTTCACTGTGGCACTGGCAATACCCTTCTTGGTCTGGGCATCCCTGATCACTCCCTTTATACCAATATGGGTCTACAAAAAGCAAAACAAATTATTTATGGTCAGTTTTAAAATAAATCACTGTGTTTATCCATACTTGTGCCTAAAAGCATCCCCTTAGATATTTTTCCATAATTCTATAATGACAGAAATCTACCTACTTCCATTACCACCCTAATTCACCAGTCTCCTTGGCATCTCTATTAAGAGATGCTTAAAAATTGAAGCATAAAATGTATAAAAAGACATTTATAGATCCTAATTACGTCATATCATGGTAATTGAAAAAAAATTGTTTCAAGTCCCAGAAAAATAAATTTCATTGCTAAAAAAAGGTTCAATGCTCATTGTATTCCTATTTTAATAATAAATAGGTGGTATGTAATATCTTACCTGCCACATGAAGTTGATCAAGGCATCCTTGTTGTCTTCCCAAAACTGTGGCAAAGCATTCTCAGGTGGGTACTTGTCACAACCCAGTTCCAAGGTGATCTCAAAACAGTTGGTACGGAGGTAGTTGAAATCTTGCATGCCTTAAAGAAATAAAAGACCCAGACATGATTTTTTTTTCCTGATAATTTCCTTGGCGGTTTTCAGCTGAGGCAGCCCCCATGTGTCCCCCCCCCCACCCCCCTTGAAAAACCAGGGAGCCATTTTTATCAGAGTATTTACATCATACATTGACTGCACAATCAGTTCATTGTTTAATCAGCAGTACATAAATCTCTTCAGTGAGAATAAATATTTTGCTCATCTTAACCCAACTAAGTAAATGGCTATGTATTTGAATACCCTGTCTCCTGGCAACCTTAGTCTCCTCTGTAGCAGAAATGATTGGGCTATATTAAATATGTAGTCAAACACAATGTGGTTATTCAGGTGTTAAGCCCTGTCTGTCATCCTATAGCCACTTTATATATTCACAGGAAGACAGTTTTTATAATTTGGAACATATGGCAGCTGATAACTTATCATCCATGGAATATCATCTTTCCTCTTGAGAATTTATTAAAATCATTATTCTTCCTGTAATTTTTTTTCTGGCAGAGACAGGCTATCAAGAAGGCAAATCCGAAAGATTTCAAATAATAAGGCTTATTTTTCTAACTCTGTGTACAACTCATCTCGAAATAAATTATTTTGTATTCATGCAGTATCATCATTCTTCTAAGACAAAGCATCAATACTAGCTACCATAAAACTATTTCTGGGCCATTACTTGGCTTAGCTTTCAAAAACAATGAGTAGCACATCGCACCCTGGCAGACTTTATACGCAAGTGGTGCAGTAACTAAAATATAATCAATTCCTATCAAACAATCACAGCATATCTGACAATACATCACTTCAGACTTTCTATTCCGGGAACTCAACAGGCAGTAATTCAAAATGCAATCAAGATACAAAAATAGCCCATGACAATGAAGCAATAAATACAACAGTTATTGACTGTTACTGTTATTTACCATCCGCCCATCGCTAATCTCTTCTCTCACAAAAGGTTGTATTTGCCAACCTTCAGGGCAAACAGGGTGGATTTACAAGCATCTTTAAAGTTGAATCAATAAGGAATTTCAGCTAACAGCCCATCAATGACCTGCCTATCAGTATGTACAAGCACATTCTGCCAAATTGAAAAATAAATCTTGAGTGGTCTGCTGATTGGCTGTTGCCTCTCTAAATGCTGCATTCAGCTAACTAAGGGAGTCAAACAATACTTTCGAAGGTCTTCCAACTTTGCCAATTTATTGGTATCTAATGGTTATAGATCTAAAGGCAAATTTTAATAACATAAGCACATTTCATAGAACTTTATGACCATCAACGACCTAATGATGATGCCAATCTTGACAAATGAAGAAGGATTACCCAATTATTTAAAGAAAGCAATAAAAATAATGGTCTTTTCACTATATTCAGTTAATCCACATTTTAACTTGTCTTTTTTCATAAAGGGACATATATAATTGTTGGCATCAAATAATACCCCTAAATTGTACCAAAAATTTATTTTCCCTTTGCTATTAACATTATCATGCCCTAGTAAAAAAGTCTCTGTCACCATTACGCTTTTTTAAAACACTTCACAAAACAAATGACATTATTTCCACGACTTGCGAAAACTATATGTCAACTATATGTCAAGACCTTACGTCAGTGCCTCTTAATATCCTTGGTTAATATCTCACAATTCACAACATCAATGGCCGCCCCCTCACTTCACACAGGAAACAAACTATTGTTTCAGCCATGTATTCACCACTAAGACCTGTAGGGTTTTTCTCTTGAGAACAATCCCAGCTGTTCAATTAGAATCCAAACTGATCAATATTTTGCCACATCCTTTGGAAATTAACTCTGGCAGAATCCACAGTTAATGTGCCATAAAAACTGTTGCTTGCACATAGTCACTGCAATCTTGCCAATTTAGGCTTGTGACAATTTTTGATAAATTGGTCATTCTTTTCTTTTTTTCATCCTTTTTTCTTATTAACCTTGAGTGAACACTTCTCTGTAACATTCATTGCACCTTTAGTATTATCTGGCAAAAATATAAAAATAGCATTTTTTTTTTTCATACAAGATCTCTAGGTTATTTTTCCTCTGATTAAATGTCAGGATGCACCCAATCTTCATTATCATCCATTTCCAATATCATTACTGATTAAAAGTAATGCTGTCCTATTTCAAGCTTTTTGCCCAAATATTATTTGATTTTTTCATCAACTGTTGCAGTAATGTCTGTTATGTAAGTCCATTTGAACATCATCCATTCCTTTATTACACACACATTAATTGAATAATCTTCAGCAGCAGTTAAATTAATACATGTCATAATCAAAATCAGTAACCACTGCTAGTAAATGTCATACTGACTTCCAGACAAGTAAACCTTATTAAAATACATCATTAGGGTTCTCCTGACATGTAATGATTTCTAATTCCAAGAATAAATCCACTAGATAAATGCTAAAGGATATTGTTAATGACATCCCTTCTGCTCATCCTTCCTGTTCACACGGCAGATCAGGTGCAAATGACGTTAATGTCAGAGGGTGAGACAACAACATATACATGAGACAACATCATCTCTATCCATCCTTCATACTAAACTACAGATCAGGTGCAAATTACTACGTCAGAAAGATAACTCTACAGTTCTATTTTCAGTGGTATCAGCTGCATCCTTTGTTGGTCTTACATAATCATAACTTTGACTGTTTCGCTGAGGATCATTTCCCTCAAAATAGCATCATAAAAGATCAATTGAGAATTTCTACCCAAGTCTGTTTCATACAGTGCTATCTAATGTAAGCAATTATGTTAATGGAACCTCTCTCTCTCTCTCTCTCTCTCTCTCTCTCTCTCTCTCTCTCTTAATTAAGAGATTAAGAGACTGTGAAGATAACTCACCTCCAGCCACAGAATACCAGGCAGCTCCATTGGTAGTCCCTTTCTGTTTCAGGAATTTCTCGTTGTCTGGCATGTCGTCGCAAGATTCATGGGGCTTGGCCATGGTGGCATGCCACAGAGAGTAAGACTCTGCCAGGTACCTTGAAGAATTAAATATCACTTTATGGCCAGCTCTACATTTTAAGTCTTAAAATAATGGGCATTTAATTTTTTTTATACTCTAAATTTGCCAGTTGGTCTTCATAACACAGAATTGATAGAGTTTTGAGAAAAGCAAAATGACATCTGACCATTTTTATGTTTTCCCTTTCATGTTTTGATTTCTTTTTATAATTTGAATATAAGAATATATATAAGAAAATGTTGAACATATTTCCTCTTACAGCATGACAGTAACTGAGGAAGAAGATGCAACTTGTCAATTAGCCCCATGTTCATTTTTTACGACTATTTTTTTTACATTCTTATTACTTTTCTCTCTTTTTTTGTTTGGTTTGTAACTAGATCTTCAAGGAGAGCATTTAATGCTTCTAGCACTTTGCCTCCATTTTTCGAGAATAAACTGATAAAATAAAACTCCTTCATAATTTAGAGAAGAATAAATGATTTAAAAGAAATTGAAGTAAATTACCTGAAAGTGCTATCATCAGGAGACTTGCTGTATTCCTGCGGGGCCCCACTCTGGCTCTCATCATACGGATAGTTGGCGACCAAATCCCCTCCGTGAAGATTGGAGGAGAGCACAAATGGAACTTCCTGAATCCATTCCATAGCCATATAGGTCTCTGGCTGGATCTGTAATAGACATGTGGAACAAACAAATTTGAAAAATTTAGTTACGCCTTGTACAGTAATGTAATGAGTGGGCTCATTTTTTGAGGGAATTCCTCCATTAAAACAAAATTTACAATTCTAATTCTGATGATCAGAATAATTGCATTTTAAAATATTTCTCATTATTACCATTTTCTATATTTTTCACTTTATATTGTATTTCAGATGAGTATTTTTAGACTTCTTCACTGGAATTCCTTATCATGTCCATCAGCAGACTTACTGTCTGACCTCTTATTTCAATATTATGTGTTAATGCCAGTTTAAACATTAGAAGCGTCATGATATTTAAAAGTCATATTTCACTTCTTTAATATTTACAGTACTTATCTACTGCTTGAGAAACTGTCTCAACTTAAATTTCTCTAATAAAATGTATTACTAAATAATTCCAGCCAACTGCCAAAAACATAAATTAATCTAGGGGTATCTACGTAAGCCAAAAGTCTACAATTGAATTTTAGCCAGAATAAATTTCTTTTTAACAACAGACATACTGCCTTTTAATCCTTTAATTTTTTTACAAGTATGTAAGGTATATGACTGAATTAAGTTAAAACATCTTATTCACAAATTGTGTGTTGTAGCTTATGTAATGTTCCACTGGAAAAATTTTATAATGATGTCACATATCAGGATTATTTGATCATTTCTCAAGTCTTACGGCTTAGATTGTTCTAATGTATAAAGGCTCTCACTCATTAAAGGGATAATAACTCTTCGTTTCGGCCAAAAAATGAATTTTCCTGGAGTAAACAACAATTTTCCCATACTTACCAATGGTTAATGAATCTATTTTTAAATTCAAAGTTAGTCCCTGTTTTTTTTTCTAAAAAGTTTGGTTTTTTATTAAAATCTCTTAAGAGATCTCTTAAGAGATTTTAACAGAGTATAGCCATCAATGGAGGTCACATGGTCTTAAGGCAAGCTCAGATATCAGAATAATAGCTATAACTGCCGTTTTTGTGGTAAAACAGAATATATAATATTTCTATGAGTTATTCACAATTTTTTTATTATGAAATATAGATCTCATACAAAGAGTTATTATCCCTTTAAGTTTCTATTTCATACAATAGCATCACACAGAAATACTTCATTGATGTAATGAATAGTCAGCCACAGCTTTAAAATGTTCAGATCTTCCCACTTAATTGTCCAAATATACCTGTGAAAGCACAGTGCATACAATTCAAGTGTATGTCACTGAATGAAATATTATATGATAACAGCCATTGGGACAGACATACTATATAATCATAAAATGCCCAGGTTGCAAGGAACCTTAATTGCACTGTAGTGCCCCTGCAGATGCACTGAACAACTTGATCATTATATTGTAACATGATCCTATTCTACCATTTATCAACTATATCAGTCTAGTAGAGTTACAGTAAACTATTCTATATATGAAGACACGGCCGATTTCTACACGACCCAGTTTTATTTTATAAAATTAGGACAAGATAGAAAATATCACATATTGTTCACAAACAGAACACATGTTACAAAAAGTAACTATTAGTTTTATTACAATTTTAACCTGGCTATAGCCCCTAACGCAATGATCACCAAGATCAGAGATAATTCTTGAGCTGCAAATTTACAAAAATCATCGACAAACTTGCACCCGACACGTTACCAAAATCATAACCTGAGAACAAATTCCCATTTTATATATGCTAGTAACTTTTTTCTCTTATGTCACGAGGGATGTAAACCCAGGTTAAAGTAATGGGTACACTGCTTTTATTCTAATATGGTCCATGAGGGGCAAACAGACACTCACATGCACATTAAGTTTCATTTTGATCTATAAAGGCAGCAGTCTATTTTAGAGCACAGGGAAGAATGTCTGGGCATTTACTATCTAGAAAAATATTCTTGCCAAAGGCCAAACAATTGATTTAACACGTGTAATGGATAATTTTACTGTGTTTACCCTCTTCAGCATCTTTTATATTCTACTGAAAGTTTCTGTTTTTATTCAAGACTGCAGGATATAAGGTTATTAATTTTAACATTAAATGCCATTGTTTATTTGCCATCTCTTATTCCTATATTAAAGATAAAATGAAAACATTCTGCAGAGCTTCACAGATGCTAATATGTGTAAAAATAATGAAGAATGATATTACACATAATTTCCAAAAGTTAAATAATTATCATTTTCTTAGGCCAATGTAAACTAAAAGCTAGAGCCAAGGCACATTTCTACTACGTTTCAATTTTTTTCTTTGACTTCTTCTTTTCCTGACTGAAAGCAATAATGCATAAAATTCACACTGGATCATATTTAACAGAATACCACAATTTTAGTTCTACTCACTGGATTCTTTTGTTGGTCATGAGTTTTTTCCTTTATATGGTTGTTTTTCTCATGGTTTCGATACACTATTCTGTCCAGGTCTGGAAAGTTTCTGTTCAGATCTACATTATTTGCATTGGATCTCCCTTTCAGCCAATCTTTCTTTCCAGTCTGAAATAATAATTTCATCCATGTCAGAATAGGATAAAGAGTTTACTAAATATAGTCATAGCCACTTTATAAATTCTGATCAGACGGAAATATTTTTACACAGTATTACTGAAACAATATATAACAGATTAATTCTTTAATTTTTTTCATAGTGTTACTGAAACAATTTTCCCATCATGAAATCAAACTGAACGGATTTTTTATTGATAATATTGTTCATGGTTATAAGTAATTGTATTTATTGACGTTTCAGTGACAGTAATCATTTACTTTGGAACAAAAAACTATTTCACTAGTCTTTTTGCTCCTCAGATAGTGAATTTTATCTTTAAAACGTCAATTTATATAAACTAGTTTTACAAACTAACATGACCACTTTTTTTTTTTTTTTGGAAGAGGGTCTGAGAGAGAGAGAAAGAGGTTCTACACAATGTGGGGAAACGTGCCAGCTGTTAACAGGTTTGCAGAGTGATGAAATCTAGATAAGAATATCATGATGACATGATGACATGATCTAATGTCTGTTTACATTTGGCATGGGCTATTTTGAATTTATTTTTTTGGAACATTATTCTCCAAGAAAATATTTCTTTTTCAGTCTTCCTACATGGTTTTTAATCATACATATTTACCACATTTGTGTTAAATAAAAAAAGGGAATGGTTTGGTTATACCTTTTTAAAGCTTTCAGTAGCAATCTCCCAGCCATCTGGGTTCATAGACGGCATTATGTGGATACGGGTGCTCTCTAACAGCTTGACAATGGTCTTATTTCCAGCCTTATACTGGTCACACATGTAGTCCAGTAAAGCCAGCAAAAGCTCTCGTCCAACAACCTCGTTACCATGCATGTTACCCACATACTTGAACTCCGGTTCACCTGGAGAGAAAAGAAGAAAAACCTGTTTGTGAAATCTTTTTAAAATATTCCAAAACTAGTTTCATCATTTATCATATTCTTTTTTATTCCAACTAAAGAAATTATATATCAGGCTTAAAGAATTAGACCAAAACGATGGCACCTGAAAGTGATAATGTTAATTTATTTTCCCACTAAATATATACAATCAAATATTTGAAAAATGGATTAAATATCCTGTTTGCTGTTATTGTCATTCTAATCATACCACAATAGATAGTTAAATCCTAGACTCAAAAGTTTTGTTTGTTTAAATTTTCAACAAACTGCCACCACCTTGGAGAAAGTGTTAAATAGATTCATTAATTAGTGTTGACATAAAATTTTGCTCTATATTTTACTGTCAACTGTCAAATTTCACCTACCAATCTCATGTTTCCCAGGATTGTCAGACATTTCAAGAACGGCTAAAGATCTGTTCATCACCGTTTTTCCTTCAAGAACATAGGGCCGGGTAATTTCTGGACATTTCTTGTGGATTTTCACCATGTAGTCTAGCATCTCCTTGTAGTTATGATGTTTCAGCTCAACCGAGCTACATTCTCCAAAGAGAACGATAGCCAGGGAGCAAAGGAGAGCTACGGCTAGCATAATTTCCACAAGAGACGCGTTTTTTTGTCTGAGTCGTCTATCAACTGCAAAATATGGTTAGGTTACTTTCCTCTTCACTGCAGTTCGTCTTCTTTTCTGCTCGGATTGTTTGTGTGGGTGTTTGACGTCAGGGCGAGCACTCATTTTACAAGACTAATATAATTTAATTCAATTTTAAAATAACTTTGCAAATAGCATTTGGATGAATATGTACAACTTCAACGAAAACATGTATGTGCTATCTGTCAATTGGGAACTTTTTAGAGGTTTTCTTCTAGATATCAATTTGTTTTCGATTCTTGTTTTTCGTTCCAGCCTTCCGGAACATGTGCAGAGTGACCTAGTTTTCCAAGGAGGGAAAATGGCCCTGCGTGTTTTGAAGCTCAGCTTCGGAAAGTTGCGACTTTTTGAAAGTTCTTCTGTTTGTTATGCAAGGTTTGTATGTGGTGCAATATAGATATGAAGAAAAGGAGTCGTTATTATGCTAATCTTAATCTATGCTATGCTACTTTGGGATGCAAATCGTGGAGAGACTTCAGCGAGACAAGATACTTCATTTGACAAGCCTTTGCACGTCAAACGAATCCTAAGAACCTTTTCTTTAAATAATTAGAAACTAATGCAAGTTTGAATTTGTTGTCTTACATTGTTATATAGAAAAGAATGAGGGGCAAGGAAATATAAACGCTACTAGCCTGATAAACGCTGTGTTGCGAGGACCATTGACGTCAATTAAGTGAGCGTCTTCAAAGGTCCGTCAACTGCGGTTATTATCGGCAGACATAAAAATATTTGTAAATAATTCTAATTTAAAAAAAATTTAAAAACAAAAATATTGGCAAGAATTTAAATTAATGTTAATTATTAGTGACAGTAATTGATATATATTTTAATTAACGACACAAAGTAGGGTTTTTAACACATTCCAAGTGCATGGATCGCTTCCTGTTGGACTTATCAGAGGGCAATTAAAACATTTAAAACATAAAATGACAGATAAATAGCCCCAATCAGTATAACATAGACAATTATTCACTGTCCCCTGTCCAACCTTGGTAGTTTGCCATCTTGACACAGTCTGTTCAAAGAGAGTGTGTGTCCTGTGATACCTGGAAGTTGAATCAGTGGAAGTTGAACGGTGTATTTGAAAAACCTCCCCTTAAATGCAGGTTTCTTTTTTCGAAAATAGTGACAGAGTAATGGTGAGTGTCAGGAAAGGAAGATTAAAGGTTGGTAAATTGGGGGAAAAATGTCATTTAT